CATGGGACTGAAAGTGTTAATTTGTTTGCAAGCGCTACTAGTGTGTGGTGACAGACATTTGTGGAGGAATGCCTCTAATCGTCATACAGTGTACCAAAACATAAAGGTGGAAATTAACGCATTTTTGGTCTTGCATATCACCAACAAACCCAAAGGAAACTGTTTCATTGTTACAGTGTAGTTAGTAAATAAAACTCAACTAACACTATGTAACACGACGGAACAACGTTTCAAAATCAACAACTTGAAGTACAAAATGTAAACGTATGTTTACAAGAATCACTAGAGGGACTGTGCAAGAATGAAGGAAGTTTCGGCTACCATTTCCGGTCCATACGTGCATGTTTATATATTATACTGTTTGAGTTTGTGTTGCAAATATTAGTTCAGCCTAATTTCTTCCTTGAACTAATAACTCGTGCGATACAAGCACTGAAGCACACAGAGTAAACACATATAAATATGCTACGTATGTAACCTCAGACCACCCTTTAGTGGTGTGAGATCTAACGCACGACGTATTTGTAACTAAAATATATATGCCATACTTGTAATGTAGAGTTATAATTAAATATGTCACACTTGAAACGCACAAGTCAGTGTACACTATATATATAAACTATGTTTTTGAAATAAATGTCCTCGCGCCTTAGCTATTATAGGCAAGAGTGAAACGACTCCATTATCAAAGACGCAGATCTTTTGGGTCAGAAGGTTACTTTTGTTCCGCGTTCACCGCATGTTTAGTAACATAACGTCTTTGTTTGTTGGTGATTATGTATTTTGATATACCAGTTGACAAATTTTACAATTCTCTTGAGCGTTTAAAGGATAGCGAGAATGGCAGCATACAGTATACGATGATAAAACATCGTTTCCAACACCCATCTGACTCTTGGTGGACGACGATACGATGTCTGTTTATACCTCCATGGATATACATACTAGTACTAGCACACGTATTGTATTAGTATTGTTGTGGTTGACGGCGATAGTAGACAGATATGCGAGAATCGTCGGCTCTCCATTGACGCCGGCAGCTGATTTTTTTTTACTAATCTGAAAATCACAGACAGGCCCCAAAAATAGATAGAGTCAGTACTAGTATCCTATACTTTGGTACAGATTCACAGTACGGTGTTCTGCCTTCGAGAAATCCGGTATCTATGTTTGGAAAATGGTATGCAAGTAGTAGTACGATAAAAACATTTAAAAACTGTGGTAGGCTGAGAATGTGGTGAAAAGTGAAAAATAATGACTGCAGAATGAAACATAAGCAAACAAACTAAATGTCATTGAATACAGTATTTACAACACTGTCAATAACAACAACTCCCTAATATTACAGTTGTGAACTTGAAATCTCATTTTTTAGGATTCCCACGTAAGGCTTCAGGAACGCAAAATTATGACAGGGAAAAAAATAATGCTTTCTTCTGTCAGCCGAGGTTATAATAAATTCTCTTAATAATAATTGTATTAAAGTTATCAAAACTTTCAATGCAACTAACACAAAACTTCAAATCGGTTCAAATGCAGAGACATGCGAAGTAAACAGAACTATCCAGATTTATTTCGAATTTGTTAAAAATAGGCCCAAATACTTTGACATTATATCTAATTGGTATTGAGAATTGCAAGGTCAGTTATAACAGTTCTATAAAAGTGTAAACAAACATTTTTGCGAATATCACTATTGCGAAAGACTGCCAAATAGCGAAGTGTCTGGTTTCCCAGAAAAAAAAATATTTAAATAAAAGTGGACTAAAATTGAATATAAATTATATACTATACAACTTTTCTCGCCAGGAATGGCGTATAATATCCGTTGTATATGCGGTTCCCTTATTTTTCGTAACTTTTGTACATGTCCAAGTTGGGGACGAGTGCCGTCCAGAGAATGGTGAAAGCCAGGCGTGATTGAAAGTTGATATCAGACCGTGTTTAAATATAGACGCCAATCACGAACCTTTCCGGTGATCACGTGACCCGTGAACTCCACTCCCTGATCGTACTGTTGTTGTTTCCTGTGAGTAAATGTGTACCTTCCAACAACTTTCACTACAAGGGTAAAATTTTCACTGTGAAATTATCTGAAAACTGGCGTCTGAGAGGCAGATCAACTCAAAGAAACAACACAATGATGTCACCGCTTGTATAATGGTGAATTATTATCTACGGCAGATGTTTGTTTTGAAATCGTATCACTGAGAACGCGATCCACGAAAAGCAAGCGTAAACGGCGTCGTGTCGTCAGCTGTTCGATCATAATTTCTGTTTGTGATATTACTGTGTGTCGTATCATGGCACATCCAATTAACTCATAATGGGAACGTCTGCGCTAAGTTCCACTTATCCATGAAGACCTGTGTACGGAATTAATCTGTGATATTTATAAGACGTTTTCTACGGAAGGAAGTTTTGAGCTGCCGTATACTGTAATAACAGTTCTCACATTTTGTTCAAAATGGCGCCCGGACCTATTGAATACGCTACATTGTATTCTTTCGTATTTATACTGTTGATTTGTTCTATATTTCCGATAACATCAAATGCAGGTAAGTTATAGATTGTTAGATATGTAGTATATTTGTATGCATCTAAGAATATATCGCAAAACGTCAACTCTGTTGATTTATTTGAATTACGCTCGGCGATGTTAAGTAACGATACATATACATTTGATTTTGCTGGCTAGTTTCAAATGTCATATTGTTGCTGACCCTTTCAGCTGGTATCCCGTGACATTTCACATCCGCATGTCTGTAATTTGGTTTTATTCTGTCATAACATTTATCATTTGTGACATAAACACCTAATTTATTGATCTCATGACTCTTGTGTTGACATTGTCAACTTTCCAAACAACAATATTGCAAACTGGACATGTACTGACAAGGGTCAGGCAAGGGAATGTTTTATTGAGCAATACAATTGTATTCATTGTTTGCTATATGAACAACTTGTATTATATGCCTGAGGTATGTTGTGACAGGATATGTAAATAAATGAGCTGAATCAATCCTGTGGGTCAACAGCTGGGTAAATTAATTATTGGAGCATGGAAGTGAACATATTTTCACCTTTGTGCCTGAAAATCATAACTGTGCAACTGTCAACTAAACTATTATTAGTTACCAATTTGCACTTATGTTATGATTTTTTTTTTCATTTAAATCTCAATCAATCAATCATTCAATCATAAAATACCAGATTAGTTTATTACTATTTATAGTTGTAAGTTACCCCAAACTGGTTATAGTACATATATGGTTTCTTGTAATTATGTGATGGGATTGAGCCTAGCTCAGCGTACAGTGCTGTGTTGTCTTGTTTTTGGAAGTATGTCTGAAATTTCAAATCTGTGTAATTCCTTATACAGGTGCTGGACATCTCAACCCCAAAATATCTTGACCCGTTTTTTGTTGTACAGGGTCGAGAAAATTTTGGGTTGAGATGTCTAGAATTCCCATATACACAAACTGTACCCCAGAAAGCAAAGGTTTGTAAACTTGGTTAGGGTATTTACTGAAACACATCTAAACATGAGATACAGTGATCATAGTATTCTGCAGGATAAGCAGATATTTCAAAAACGAAGCCTAGACCTTATTCCCCACCATGTTATTCTAAGGTGTACAACACTATATTGTCCTTGCTATACAGATTCTCTGATTACATCATTGTAACAGCCTGGCATGAGTAAAGAAAAGTTCTGTGTTGAGGGGAATAGGGGTGCAAAAAGGCTGGTGTATATTAAGATACTGGATCCCATGCTGTTTTCTACCATCTGTACAATTCCCTAATGTAACCAGCTGTGTGCATACCTTGGTTGTGGTGATAGTGGAGTCCAGTTAATCACATTTTATCTTTATCACATGTTAAATGAATGTTTATTCTGCTTTCTACTTGAAAGTAGATTAGAAATGATAGCAATATCAAAAACAACAGCTGAAGTGTAAAATGATACTCAGTAAAGACATAACATTTATCTGTTGGTTTTTGTAGGCTTTTGTTTGCTCTATTCTGTTACATCTATACATGTACACTCCAAAATGGAGTACATGTCATTTTTATGCAGTATATTTCAACAGCCATCTAAAAATAATGTTTATAGTCATAATGTTTTTAAAAATCCTTGAGCAGGAATTAATTCCTATTGTCTGTGTCCTTTGTTTTCCTTTGAAATTGACATCCTAACCATCTGTTTGCTTCATATTTAATCTGGGAATCAAGATGGGCCTTTAAATCAGGAATACATACTAGTTATATGTTTCCTGTATTTATTAGGAAAAAATAACTTATTGCCCTCCACACATTGCCTGTTGAAAGCCTTCACAAATAGCTAAAATGAATGTGAAAAACTAACATTGGCAATTGTTAGTGTGAAATCCGTCCTACTGGATAAACAAGAATATCTTCCTGGGCTGGACATGTTTTTAAATGATACACTCCATGATATGCTAATAAATCCATGTTTAGAACACAGCATGACTCACTTTAGACTCAACTTGTGTTAGGAAATCAACCTCTACCAGATATGTAGTTCATAACTGAGAAACATTCCACCAGTGTCAGTACTGCATTGGATGCACATGGTACAACACACAGCAGTTACAGTTTTAATTGAGTTTCAAGGTTGGATTAGAGGTTATTGTCCATCAATGATAAAGCACCTACTACTAGAGTGTACCATTTACTGTTATTATTCAGATGTCCTTGCATACTGGTAAATTGAATTCAAGGCGCATTGAGTATAACCATAGGTGGTTTATAGTTCCATGGTATAACGTAATACATGTAATATTTTTGTGTTTGTGTTTAAATAATTTTGTTTGATATTACATTGTTATGTATTCACTGGAGTATGAATTATTGTAAAATAACCGTGGCAACAAATATAATTGTTAGATGGAATAATAAAAACGCTAGTGCCGTTAAAATTCTGCATTAGAAGCTGCATCCCTAATAGAAGTCGTACCCATTCTTTTTAAACATTTGAGAACCAAAAATTCATTGTTTCACATATGTGTAGCTGCTCTAATAGAAGCCGCATCATATCTGTTGCATTGTACCATTTTAATAGAAGTTGTGGCTTCTAATTCAGATTTTACAGTACACCCTGGATTTACCTCCACTGCCTATACATACAAGCATATTTTAGGTAAATAATAGACAATATTTATCTTCATGGTACAGTAACGAATACTGCTATATGATTGTTGCCAAAACAATATTTGTAGTACGAGACAAATTATATCCTACTTTTTTCACCAAAATTATTTATAAAACATTCTTTATAAAACCCAATTCCAAAGCTAATTGTGGTCAACAAAATTATAATACTTAATAATTCTACAGAAGATGGTATGTATATGTTTTTGTGTGGAACAAATATTACAAGGGATTGTTGGGTTTTTAGAAGAAATATTTTATAATTACCATATTTTTAATAATAAGTCGTAACTTTAACAGAACACAAAACACGTTTATCTGTCAGCATCTTTCACAAATACTCAATTAATTAAATTTAAAGAAGGGGAAAACCTTGGTGGGAAAACATCCACCTTGATCTTGAACAGCATGAAACCTGCACAGTTGAGTTACTCAGTTGGCAAGGCTATTTATTAGAACCAGCTGACAGTTATTTTATGTGGAGTAAGTGAGGCATTCCATTTAGACAGCATTGCCTTGGACTGGTTAACTGATGGTCACTGACATATCACACACATAACCCATGTAACTGTACTTTTAAATTTTAGCAAAATATATTCATGTACATATTTGGAAAAAATTCCCACAGTAATTTAAATTGAGTGCTGTAGGCGTAGATCTTACTGTTATATAAAGAAGTCAATGAGGGTTGAAGAAATGATTGAGGTTTGTTAAAGAGCATTGATGTGTCTGTGGATAGGTATTTCAGGAATGTGATTTTATGGGTGAGTGCTGAAGAGATATCAACTAACACATGATTACTTTCTAAATAATGTCTACCCAAGGAATCATATAAATTTAAAATAATTAAATATGCAACATTAATTACATTCCAATTAATAATAGAAGGTAATTGTATTGTTTCCTGAACAAAATGATGAATTTAAATCTTATTTATATTCATGTTACTTCAAGTCTGCTCTCTTGAACAAAGGCACTAATCATTCACAATTGAAGCCTGTCCCAACCAAGATTTACAATGAGACATTATTGTCATTCTTGATTTATTAAAGTAAAATTGTGTGGGAATGTTTGGCCTAAATGTAAATCACTTGTCCACATGGACATTCTGAAATCAACCTGTCTCAACTATTAGGTTAAATTAATATGCTTGCATAGGATAAGTGGGTCAGACTTCACTTGGATCCCTAGCAATGTTCAAAATTGAGTTTTATAATCAAGTTTAAAATAGTGTACTGTCAAGTGATTTTAAATTTGCATTCAGGTTCTATTTTCACCATCTCTGGGATTTTACATTATCTTATTAATTAAAATAATATTGTGTACATCCTAATTGTTATTAAAAGTATTGGGTCATGGTTAGTTAGTTTGCTAGGAGGCAGTGGTATTTGAAAGAGCCATTCTATAAAATTATGGTAAAGATTATAAGAATCATCTCAGAGGGGAATGCTTATTATTCAATAATTGGAATAAAATTACTCTGCATTGAATTCAGTGAGTTGATCTGATTTGCAGAAAAGACCATATTATGTGTACCGGGTAGTGGTTGCATTTAATGCATAACATAAACTACTGAATATGCAAAAAAAAGTGTCTTGAAGTAAAAAGCAGTACAGCTTATGCCTTTAATCATAGATAATATT